CCTCCCCTGAGCCTGGCTGGACAGGCTACAGCTTCTGGAGTACAACATGGGCGGGCCTGGCTGGCAGCCCCAGGAAAGGAGCTGTCTGGTCCTTCTGGACCGCCAGGGACTCCCTTTGCCTCCTGATTACAGGAAGAGGCCTCCACATGGCCCAGAGCTCTGCCCTCCGGGTGCACTCTCTGCTCCCCAATTCCCTGTCTGCTCTCAGGCCTTCAGCTCCAGCGCAGCCAGACACACGTGCCTCCTTGTCCCCACCAAGGAACTCCCTGCCTAGGCCCTACCCCTTCCACCTTCCTGGCCCTGCTTCCTGGCCCATACTTCCTGCAGGGAGCCACCTGGGCTCTGCCTGTCTCTCCCTCCTCAACCACCACCCCAGCACTAGAGCCGGGGTGCACTTGCTGCCCCCACCTCAGACCTCAGCCTCAAACCAGTCTCCCCCCTACCAAGGGAAGTCCTCAAAAATCAAAAACCTCATAGCCTGGGTCCATCCAGCACACACACACACACACACACACACACACACACACACACGCTCTATCCTCCCTTCCTAACCCTTGGCCCCCACCTCCTTCTCTGTAAGGAAAGTGAGGAGGCTCAAGTCCCCTCCCACCCAGGAGCTCTGTGGGCCTGAGGTTTCTCTCCACAGCCTCAGGTCCGGGCTCCCGCCCCAGATGCAGCCAAGTCTGAAGGCAGCTGACCACAGGGCACACACCCTCCTGACTGGCCCCTGGCTCCTGAGGAGCGAGACAACTGGCCTTGGTAGCACACCCCACTCCACTTTCCAGAACCTCTCTCAGCCCCACCGTGACAGAAGCGCACTCCCGCTCTTTCCTTTCCCCAGCATCTCACAGAGAAGACATTTGGATGCGCCACAGGCCAAAACTGGGCCAAAACCCTGGCGATGAGGGCCTGGCTCAAGGCCACACCACATTTCCACATCATTTTCCAGTGGCACCAACTGGGCTGGACAGGCGTGTGGCTGGACAATCCCCATCCAGGAGGCAGGGCGAATTCCCAGAGTACCAGGTCACTGAGCCGTCTCAGGGGTAGGGCTCCTAGGGACTGGCTGGTTCTGGAATGATGCCGCTGGGATGCCAGATGCCGGTTGCTCCCCCTGCCTGTCCTAACCTCAAGGAAAGCCTTGTCCCTCCCAGACCGTCACACACTCCCCGCTCTTGGAAGCCTTCCCTGGCCAACCCCACCCAACTCTTACCACTTACTCCACTGCTTACTCCGCGTCCCCTTGGCACTTAGATCCCAAGTTACCCTGTGCTCATTTGCCCTTGTTTATGTGTTACTTTGCAGATATTCTCACAGAGCTACACATGCCACGATCATCACTATTTGTAAGAGTCTCCAGTGTGCATTAAGCCCATTTTGCTGGAGGATTAGTCCCTGCCCTTAAGGAGTGCCAAGGAAGACTTTGGATTCTAAGTCACATCTCCCCTGCTGCAATTTTTTCCTCTTGATAATCTCACTGATAAAACCTCCAATAAGGAGCATTTCTCCCCATGAGCAAGTTCTTGCCTTCACTGCCAGGGAGGCCCCAGCTAAGGTTATAGCGGGGAAGGACTCTCTGGGGAGTACCTGGAAGAGGTCAGCTTCTCCTCAAAGGAAGCCTCTCCAGCTGGTGTACTGCAAGCCCTTCCAAGACCAAGTTCCCCCCTCCTGGCCTTTGGAACCAGCCTGCGTGCCAGTGCTGTGTCCCCAGTAACACACATTTCCCTCGGAAGCCATAGGAGGATGCAGAGACCAAACTGAGATTGATTCTCAGCCCTAGCACTTACTCATTGTGTGGACATAACCTCTCTGGACCTCAGCTTTGCTGTCTATAAAATGAGCACCATAATATGGACACCTGGGGAGAGTTATAAAGACTGAGGTTGACTTGTGCTGCGCCTGGCACAGAGGCCTCCCTCGATAAGTGGCAGCCATTGCTATTGGGGTGCCCCAACACCCCTTGCCCCACCCACCACTAGCTCCCACTTGGGCCCACACTGAGGGTGTGGCTGTTGTGTTGGGGAAAGGAAAAAACGGCCATGTCTGCGCTTCAGGGCCCCCACCCCTAACTGGTCTGCTTTTGTGGGAAGCATTTTCTGATGCCCTCACCCTACCCCTGGGCTGGCTGGCTAAGTGTCCAGCACCATGGGGAAAGGAGCAGCATTCAGGGACAGCTTGGTTCGGCCCTGAAGCTCGTCCAGGCCTAGGTCCAGAAGCGAGCCATGCCTGGGCTTCCCTTGTACCCTCACCTGTCCTGTGGCAGCCTCCACCCTGTAGGCCGCTCCTGGATGGCATAGCACCTTGGATGTCAAGTGTGGGCCTTCCCGGGCACATGACATGAGGGGACACTTCTGTGGGTTGTTGGGGGCAGGAAAGGATCTGTCCCCAGCTGGATCTGGGTGCTCCCATTTTGGGACCCAGTCATGCCAGGGCAGCACACATGGGCACTTAGCGCACACCTCATGATGGAGCAGAGGAGGAACAAGGCAAAACCAGGGAGTCCCCAGGCCCCTGCTCCTGCCCTGCCCAGAGACAGTAGAGCAGGTGTCTCCAGCTTCTTAACCTCAACACACAGGAAGAAATACATTTTACAGCAACCGACAGACACATACATTCACAAAATGATACTCTGTAATGCACTGGGATGGTTTTCTATCGTCACGACCCTCTAGTGAGTCACAAATGAGTCTGAGAAACCCTCTGTAAGTCATGTAAGCAAGCCACAGTCCCTGGCTGGCAAGTGAAGGAGTTCCCCACCAGGACTGGGGCACCGTGGCAGCAAAGAAAACAGCCGGGGCAACCACTCCGTCCTTTTCCCCCACTCAGCCCCTCCTGGGTGAGGAGAGAAGCAGAGGACTCTGCAAGAAAGATGCGGGAGCTGCCCCACTCTGCAGCAGGCGCTTCCCGTGGCTTCTCACCAATCCTCACCACAGCCCGAGCAGCAGCACTTGTCTGTCCCATTCTGGAGAGGAGGCGATGCAGGCTCCATGGCTTTAAAAAGATTCACTGCATGCCTGCCGTGTGCCGGCAGGGTTCCGAATGCTGTGTGTAATGCACAGCGTTTACCTAGTCCGAAGAGCAGCCCTAGGAAGCAGGTACCAGTGCAGCCGTGCACGGCAGAGGAGGACGCCACAGCTCCCCAGCTCAAGGTCCCATGGCCAGCTCCAGGCCTGCATCTGTCAACCCGGAACACTTTTAAGGAGTCCCTTCTGCCCCAGACAGAGTCCTAGGCTTCCCTGCAGACCCAGGTAAACTTCAAGTGGAAGGAGGCTTGCCTATAAGTGGGGAACATCAATAGGAGGGAGCAGATTGAAAGCTAGAAGAGAATATGAACAAGCAGCTGTGGCTGTGGGCTCACAGAAAGGGGACAGCTCTCCTCCAGAATCCAGAGGCTATTTTAATTTAATGTTCATCATAAAAAAAAATATTGATGGCGTGACTGGATGAGGCTCCGCGGTGGCCTCCACGCAGGCAGCCTGTTCTGGACCCTATGGTTCACTGGCTGCTCCAGACCCCCTCGCTCCCCAGGGTCAGCTGCAGACCAGAGCCTCCTGGGCACAGAGAGCCCTGCTCAGAAGGGACATCTCCATTCACAGAGGTGAGGAATCCTGGGGGTTTCATGGTGGAAAGGCAGAGCCCTGTCTTTGGGACCTGATGTACATCTGGCTGCCAGGGTCTAGGGGCACCTGAGGGGAGGGGCAGCAGCCGCCCAGCTTTGCCAGAGACAGAGGGCAGGGCCAGACCTGGGGCTTCCCGCACAGGATGCCATCAGCCCGCTGAAATTCCAGCCCACACAAGCACCCCGAGGGCTGTCAGGGAGGGGTGGGATTTATGACTTCGCCACCCCCCAGTACCCCAACGGGAAATGTTGGTCAACATCTCTCTGGTCACAGGGCCAGTGATCCTGAGGCTCCTAAATAATGGGGCAGGAGCCAGGTCATTAGGCAGGGGAGACTGTCATTAGTGCAGGTGATGCCACCACCGCACAGACAATGACAAACAGTCATTAGCAGCTGTGTCACCGGGGTGAGGCAATGCTGGCTGGCTGGGGGGGTGCGCCCCCCAGCCACGCACTCACACACACACACACGTGGGGAGGAAGCAGACATGTGCCAACACTCACCCACACAAGGACATCTATAGACACACACACTTGCACACTCCCACAGCCACACATGGGGCCATGAGTGGGTGTGTCTGCACACTCACATGCTCACACGTCCACACACATTCACATGCAGGATGTGAGCCCGCATATGCTCCCACGTGTTCCTACAGTCACAGGAGCACGAGCAGACATCACATTTGCACACTCACGTGTTCACACAGAGGAATGAGTAAGGACCCACGTATGTGCTCACACACATTCACATATGGGCACAGGGATGCATGTTCACACACTTACAGTCATAACAAATTCACACACATACACAGGCACACAGCAGGGCCGTGAGCAGCAGGCATACTTGCATGCTCACATTTCCACACTCACATGCAGAGAGACACGTTGCCCAGAGAGGCACACAGTGTCTAAGACATCCCCCAATGCACACACACCACAGGGGCAGGGCCCTCGGATCCTCCCCACACCAGGCACCCAGACACCCCCTACCCTGAGATAGACACACAGAGCCTCAGGTTGCCCCTGAGGAGAGACCCAAAGACACCCCCTCATCCCACCCACCCCTGCTTCAAATGACACAGCAGCCAGGAAGGAAAGGCCCAGCAAAGTGTGGAAGCAGCTGGGTGTACCTCGGCAGAGGTCGTAACAGCTATGCTGTTGCAGTGCCCTTCACGCCCCCAGCCCTGACGGCCAGCACAGACCTGTCCCCCACATGAACCCCCAAGAAAGCAGCTGCTGTAGGCTGCTATCCCTCTGCCCTTCACTATGGGAGAGGGACAGGAAGGGGGAGGCTGGAGTTGGAGGAGGAGTGGGAGGAAAGCAACTGAAACCCAGCCTCTGGCCCTGAGTTGAATCTCTCAGTATGTCCCATACTCACCAGAAGGCTTTTCCCCACCAAGCTGTGGAGCCACCCTTCAGAAAACACAGGCAGGGAGTGGGAAGAGAGGCAGAGAAAGTGGTGGGCACAGCCACCGGGCCAAGGGAGCAGCCTGAAACCCGGCCCTTCCCTCTGGGTTCAATGTCTAGCTCCACCACTTACCAGCTGGCGGGATTAGCTTCCTGCAGCTGCTGTAGGAAGCTAATGAAGATTTCCATGAACCTAGGGGCTGCACGCAACACAATTGTATTTCTTTATTTAAATTAATCTTACTGGCTGGTTGCAGTGGCTCACGCCTGTAATCCCAGCACTTTGGGAGGCTGAGGTGGGCGGATCACTTGAGGTCAGGAGTTCAAGACCAGCCTGGGCAACATGGTGAAACCCCGTCTCTACTAAAAATACAAAACTTAGCCGGGTATGGTGGCATGTGCCTGTAGTCCCAGCTACTCAGGAGGCTAAAGCGTGAGAATCGCTTGAACCCAGGAAGTGGGGACTGCAGTGAGCCGAGATCTCACCACTGCACTCCAGCCTGGGCAACAGGGTGAGGCCCTGTCTGTAAATAAATCTTACCACTGCAGCTCTGGAGGCCAGAAATCCAAAACAGTCTCACTAGGCTGAAATCAACGTGTGGTGGGGCTGCGTTCCCCCTGGAGACTCCACAGGGGAGCCCATTTTCCTGCCTTTTCCAGATTCCCATGGCTGCCCACGTTCCTGGTCTCCTGTCCATCTTCCTCACACCGCCTCATCTCCTGCCTCCCTCGTCCAGTTGAAAGGACCCTCTTGACAACACTGGGCCCACACACATAATCAGGATAATCTCTGCACCACGAGATCCTCAATCCTATTTACAAAGTCCCTTCTGCCATGTAAGGGAACATGGCGTTCTGGGGATTAGGATGTGGACGTCTTTGGGAGGCTATAATTCTGCTTGCACTGGGACAAGTCATTTAAGCTCTCAGAGCCTCAGTACCTTCAACTGTAAACTGGATGCCTTCGGAGCAGCTTGTGGTAGAAAGGGGTTAGGAGGGACCCCTGAGGCCAGTGAGGGTCCATGTGGGCTTGGGCAGGGGTTGACAGTTGAGGTAAGGATTGGGGGCTGCAGGTGTCCATGAGATTCCCTGGATCTGGGCGGCGATGAGCCCTGCGGTGAGGGGAGCCGCCCTAAGCTGAGGACACACAGCTGCGGTGACCCGGCACGGGGGCAGGGCAGGGCAGGGGTACTTCTCCTGTCGGTTCCTGCCCTCCTCTCCCTCATCTACTGTCATCTGTTTGCAGGGCCCCAAGGCCAGGGCAGGCAGGAGGCCCCAGACCAGGCTGCTATTACCCTGGGAAGTGCAGACTGCAGAACGATGACCCAGGCAGATAAACCCCACATAGAGGAATCGCCTTCTGGAAAACAGTCATTAGCCCCTGATCCCGCCCGGCACTGCTTGCCCTCTCAGGAGGTAGCCAGTGGCTGCTCAGAGAGGAGCTGAGGTCATTGGATTCCCACCAGCCCGCCCTGAGCCATCCAGCAGCCCAAGCTGGGGGCCGGGTCCTGAGTCCACCTGCGCCCACTGGCCCAGTCTGCCCCCTCCCTCTGCTTCTCACCTCATCTCCACTTGCTGCTCTTCCCCAGCCCAAACCCAGCTCTTATCCCACCCAACAGAGGGACTGCAAGGCCGGGAAGTGGCCGGGTATCTGGAGAAGCTTATTTGTAAGTCCAACTAGCTCCCCTGAGCTTCAGCTGCTGCCTTTATCTGGCCCGATGATAGACTGAAACCACAGTCTGCTCCCTTTTGAGTGATCTGTGAGCCTGCCAGGGTGGCCACGGCACCCTGAGTACTGAAGGATGAGGCGGAACATCTGGGTGAAAATCCCATTCTTCTGCAAAATGAGGGTGCAAAAGCCCCAGGCCTGCCTGCTGCTGCTGGGGAGATGACATTGGTCACGCGAGCAAGCACTTGTTATTCTCCTAGGCACTGATGCTTCCTCCTGAGACACAGTGGGCAGGGCTGGCCCCACTGGTCCTTCACAGACCAACTGCCTTGGAGACTCCTCACCTCTCGCTGCATCAAGGAATCCCCAACAGGTGCTGGAGGAAGCATACAGAAGGATGGGGAGAGGGAAACACAGCTTCCTGCACATCACAGGACTCTGACAAATAGGTGCTGAATGCATAACGTTCAGCCACAGAGCTCCTACTTACACCAGGCACTGTGCTCACTGCTGGAAATGCCACACACCGCAACTGACGAAGCTGCCCTTCTCCAGATATGTCCTGCTCCTCCTGGATGGACGGAACGTCCCTGCATGGCAGGCAGCCTGCAGGCTGGTGGCTCCACACCCTGCGTCAGCTGGAGCAGTGCCCAGCACCACCCTGAGTCGCTGCCACCCTGGCAGGCTCACAGATCGCTCAAAAGGGAGCAGACCATGGTTTCGGTCTATTATCAGGCCAGATAAAGCCAGCAGCTGAAGCTCAGGGGAGCTAGTTGGACTTACAAATAAGTGTCTCCAGATGTCCCGCCACTCCCCAGCCTTGCAGTCCCTCTTTGTTCTTTTCCAAAAGCAGCCCCAGGGGGAAGACGCCTCCTAAGGAACTGTGTATGGTGTCAGGGGTGGAAGGGTGAGGAGGCTGCAAGCAGTCGGGCAGCTGGCCCGGAGGCAGGGCTGGATGGAAAGCGACTCCTGAGCTCAGAAACTGCTGGTCTCAGGGACGGGGGGCATCGAGAATTGTGGGGTGAACACCCATCACAACCCTGCCTCACTTATCTTTATATTTGCCCCAGTGCTCAGCACAGGGATAGGCACCCAGCAGAGACTCAGAAATGCCCAAATAGCAGAGGTCAGGAAGACTGGCCGGTTTCTGCAGTGACCAGGATTCCAGGCACGGGAGACCAGGAGCAGGAGAAACAGGGTCCTCAGCCCTGTCTAACAGGGGAGGAAGGGAAGAGACCCTTGCCTAAGAGAGCCATAGAGAAAGGGCTAATAATAGAGGGCGTGCTGTGTCTTAATTGAACAACTGTTTACTGCGTACCTGCCATGTGCCGGTGGCAATAGAACAGTGAACAACGCAGCCCCTGCCATGGGGGAGGCTGCTTTTGAGAGCTGTCTTGCTCAAAGGACAAGAAAGGGGGCTTCATGCAGGGAGGAAGCAGGTAGAGGTGGCTGAGGCCCAGTGTGAAGCCCAGAGACAGAGGGACAGAGGGGAGCTCCTGAGTGTTTGTCTGAGGCCTAAGAAATGAGGGCTGTAGGAACCTCCCTCCTGGGTCACACACAGCCAGGCACAATGGGTGGCATGGAGTGTGAGCCTGACAGGACCCCTGTTGCTAGGACCTGGCCTCTCCTCCTGGGAGAGGACACAGATGTAAGGACATGGTGTTTCCCGGGGAACCAAGGCAGGCTGTGCTGCCCTTGGCCCTCCCTGTGAGGCGTGAGCAGCCAGAGGAAGTGGGGCTCCCCTGCCAGTTTCCCTTTGTGCAATCCTCCTTCCTGCTCCTCTCCACCCAGAAGCAGGCCTGGCAGCCGTGCCAAAATGCCACTGGCATGAACCAAGCACCCACACAGCAGGGCAGGGTCGAGGGTTCCCCAGGAAGGCTGGGGCTGCCCTACACCTAGACCAGAAGAAACTGACCAACCCACACATGCTCCATCCCTGCATTCCACCTCTAAGGAGAGGGACCTGGGGGATCTATGGCTTGGTCCCCACTTGACCCCATGTGCATGTCTGACAAAATTCTAGGCCTGCTAGGGCCTCTGCCATCTTGGGGAGGCTTCCTTCTGCTTCTTTGCTTTGCAAGAGGGACCCTAATCTTCTCACCCATCCAAGGCATTTGGCCATGGCCAGACTCTGGGCCAGAAGCTGAAGGAGCGGGATGCCAGGCCTCAGAGTCGAATGGCAGTGGTCTGCCTGACCCCTCCAGGCAGAGGACCCAGTGTCAACCTGGGACTCATCCCACTGAGCCCAGTACAGCTAGCAAGGGTGGGGCAGGGGCCCCAGAGCTGGCTTCCAGAGATGGGGAACACCCCCCGACTTGCTCCCACATCCCGCCCGGGCTCTGTGACTCTACAGCAGCCCGAAGCTCTTGCTGTTGTACCCTGTGTCGAAATCCAGTGTAACAAGGGCCCTGGGAGGAAGGGTGGCCTTTTACTCATTCCAGAAAGAAATAGCTACCAAGCAGCTCTGATGCATGCCAGGCATTGAGACACTAGAGAAACAGCCTCCACACAGTCCCTGTGCCCACAGAGTTGTGCAGGGGAGGCAGACACAAACACGCAAACACCAACAATAAATAATAACAAATTGGGCTGAGCACTGTGAAGACGGGAAAGTGTAATTAGCCTGTGCCACCTCTTCCCGGCCCCAGAGGCCTCATTACAGAACACCCGCACCTGCCCAACCTCCCAGCATGCTGCTTGGTCAGGGACCGTGGATTGCACTGGAAGCTAAGTACCCGGCAGAGCAAGAGGGTTCACAATAGTTTGAGGAGCATTTGTTGAACTGGAAAAAAAAAAAAAAGAAAGAAAAAAAGATTATCCAGTACAACCTAATTTTACAGGCCATCGAGGCCCAGGGAGGCCAAGCATTTGGCCCCAAGCCACACAGCTGGTGAGTGGCAGAGCCCCAGACCAGAAACCAGGTCTCCTAAGTCCAGGCCCAGTGGTCCTGCCACATCCCGCGCTGCCTGCTGGACACTCTCGAACCCTTTCACAGCCTCCAGGAATCTGCAGCCTCCTGGCCCATCTCAGATGCCTGCTTTACAGATCAGCACTGTCCGATAGGACCACAGGTGATGATGGAACTGTTCTGTATCTGTGCTGTTCAAACAGTCACCTGGCACCGCTCAGCAAGTGCAGGGAAAGGTGGCCAGTGTGGTAGGGTCAGGGGGTGGGAGAACGGGCAGGGCTGTGAAGAGAAAAAAGGCATAACGGAGGTGACACAGCAAGGAAGAAGGATTGGGTTTGACATTCCAAGGAATCTTCCATCCCCAGAACCACGAGGAGCACTGAAGGATACTGTGCCCAGAAAGACGTGCCTTGATCACAGCCTCCGTGGGACCCCAAGGAAGTCACTGCTCCTCTGAGCTCTCCAGTACCTCTGGCACTCCAGTAACACCAGCTGGAGTGGTCATTCATTCATTCAGTTGTCATTCTTTGTCAAAACCC